AGCCCTCGGCAGCATAGGCCATTGGGCAAAAAAAGATTTTTACTGTAACTAATTTTGTTTTCTAGTAATTTTAGTCTAGTGTGCGGTATTGTATTAAAATGTAAAAAAAATTTTACTTCCTACTTACTATTCTATTTTTAAAAGTGCCTTTTTATTATTCAAATATTAGAAAAATTCTTAAAATATGTCAATACGTATAAAATATTGTCTACATCTAATAAAGCATTTTAATGCAAAATAAAATTTTGTATATATATTGATTGATAGTTAAAAGTTGAGAAACCTAACCACCCAAACAATATTCAATAACCTAAGTAAAAATAAGTAATAACATAAAAATCTGGCCTCTACATTTATATGGATACTTTTTCACAATATTAACCATTATAACTGATTATGATTGAAACCTTTAAAAAATAATTTTAAAAACTTACCAATATTGCAAGTACATTGGAACCCATAAGCATATAAAAAACACTTGTCCAACCAAATAGGTTGGATATATAAGCAGCTAGAAGAGGTCCAACAGCTGCCCCTAATTTTAAAYAAAAACAAATAATGATTTGATCACATTTAATGTAAAAACACCGAACAACTAAAAATATTTATGTGTATACCTATTGATCCAGTGCCATCAATTATAGATGTAACAGTAGATAATGCTTTGGAATTTCCTTTTAAAGAGCTATGTGTTCCTAGTTCAGCAGATACTGCAGTAGTAATCAATGCGTATGGTCCATTAACCAGTCCACCAGCAACCACTAACAAGGCAATGTTCACAATTAAACTGACCGATGACAGCAAATTGTAGGCATATAACTGAAGAAAAAATAATGATTTAATCTTCAAAATATTAGYCATTAGGACGAAACAAATTAAGGAATGCACTCACAGATGGAATGGCCAAAAACAACATAACTGCACATGTACATGCACTTTTTCCAAACATATCACTGAATATTCCAGCAGCAATTCCACCAAAAATACCACCAACATCAAACAATGTTGACAAATCTGCACTCTGTGAAGGGCTATATGTAGCTATAGAAAAATTAAAATGATAATACATTCTATGCATAGTATTGGATTAATATTAAAAACTACTTACAAGAATACTTAATATAATTTGGTAACCAATATAGGAAAGTGTAACTGACTAGTTTTGCAAAGAATAAACACATAGAGAATTCGATTACACCCTGAAACATAAAAATATCAATGACCATAAATTAATTT